CGCCAACTCCAGGTTAAAGAGCGCCTTGACGTAAAACACAAATTGATATCACCTCTCTTTTCATTGCATCAAAACAAAATTTCGCATTTCCGACCCACCCGTTTATACCGCTAAGTGGTCACCATTTTTGCTGCTGCCAGACGTGTCCAGCTATCCTATACCAAACAAACCATCATCCGCATGGACTCCCTTTACGCGCTGTGTGCCCTCAACACTCAACACAACACATTTTACCCTTTCATTGCCGTAATTCGGAATATTATCCCACCGCTTACACCCAAAGAGAATCTCCAAATGCTTCGAATACACAGCCACGCAAACATTCCTGGCGACGAGACCGCTGGTGGCTTGCCAGCGACAGCCAGCAATTAACTCTAATAAGTGCGCCTCCTGTTCCTAAACAAGGCGCACTTACATATACAAACTTAAAGTTCCGATGCTCTTTGCAACGTGAATGAGATTTGCAGCTCCACCCACATTTATGCACCATTAAGCCCACTCATCATCATCTAACATCATTAAACATCTTATCAGGGCTCACATTTAAAAGAGATAATCCTAGCACGTCTCGCATTGTTTATTATAGTCCTGACTCGTAGCACGTCGTGACTATATATATATATATATATATATATATATATATATATATATATATCATACGATATAATACACATAAGGGTGTGCCGTCCTCGTTATCTACCGTTATTAGGCTAGGCCATGTGATCAGCTGACGCCTGATGACTAATGCAGAGTTTTGTTTTGACTCCTATGCAGGAGTACAAATATTGCAGCAATATGTACTAGAATATGATGTATAATTCTATGAAGTGTAACAAATCTAATAGCCAACGACAACGGCATATACGACGTTGGCGGTGTCTAAGTTATGTTCGACAATTGCGCGTAAAAACACATCGGCGCACATCCGACTGCTGCTCTCAGTCTAAGGTGCCAAGAGGAACCATCATCCTGTCCCTGCCGATTAAGAGTTACGTCCGCGTCAGCGGTGTACGCCCTCCGATAAAATCGGGAAAAACCCCAGAGCAAAAGGGAAGGCACCTGAGCGGTTGAGGGTGCCGCGGCAGACCATCAAAGACGCTCCCGCCATCAGCATAGGGCCCTCAGAACAAGCGAAAAGAACCCCAAAACCAACGTGGTGGGCTCCTGCAAGACTGAGAGTGCCCCGGCAGGCTGACATATGGGACCCCGTCCAGCCCACAGGGCCCTCTGAGCAAAGGGAATTTCCCAATAGCAGTGTGTATGAAATAATGCCCCTGTACGAACAAGAGTGCCCGGGCAGTACACAGAAAGAGTTCTAACAAGAGTGGAATGTCCTCCGCAAATGAGATCGGGGGGATGATGATGAGAATGAGTCCTAGATCTATGCAGAGAACCCCTGATCATCGAGTACTTCGGTGCGTTAATATCCATATATGGGCTTAGCAATAGCACAGGGCCCTCCGAGCAGGCGGAAAGAACCCGTTACCAATATGTAGGGCCCCTGAGCAAACAAGTGCACCCCGGTATAAGGGCCCCCGCAATAGTGTACAGAGCCTTTCGAGTGAATGTAAAGAATCTGTTGAGGACTGTTGATCGATCAAGAGTGCCAAGACATGTTAAAAATGCAAAGAGCCCGAGTGCAACATGGAAGTCTCTTTAGTAATCGAATTGCCCTAGCAAGTGGACATATGAGGACCCCGGCAACAGCGTGGGCCTCTGGACAGCATGATGATCTTCAAAATATTTCCCAATCACCACCCTCTCAATCAGCAAAAAGTTGTTTCTGTATGCTCACGGGCGTTTTACTTTCGCTTGCGAATGTCCTTGGTCGTCTGGAGACCCAAGAACATTAACTTGTATGGCGTTTTGTGTTTTAAAAAACCGCGTCTTTTTGGCTGGCTATGGACCCCATCGGGACCCAAGGAGGGATTTGACCCCGGGCCCCCTTCCTCCTTCTGGATCCGCCGCTAGTCCCTCATGCGACTGAGCACTCTACGTTGTTTATGGCGAGACGATGCTACTGATAAGCGCAAGTAGCGTTCGCGACCCTGCTTAAGTCACGTCCATTTAGTTAATAACGTGTTAATATTCAGAGATTTTCAGACTTAATCCGAGCATTTTTAACTGAATGGATTTCTGATCTCAGAGCTCAGAGCTTTTCTGAGGCTTATTGTGCGCGCCCTGACGCTTGCCACTTAAGAAATCTGACCTTTTAAAGCTCACCTCTTATTGGCTTACTAGTAGCTTACTTGCGATTGGATACTTAAAGAGCGCTGACATGCATAATTCCGTCACAAATGCGTTGGATCTATATCTGGCATGTGACAACAGCCAAGCGCACGCCATGATGCTAAGTATATGCAGCAATGTCAGCACGATCTCTAAAACTATCTAACCTCATAAGATCATCTCAACATATTCAAATCGATGCTTTATTGGCGGGGCAATGCATGACAACGTTTTTTTTTATCTCCCTTATCGTTTTCAACCTTCACGGTGACCTTTAGAGGGCATGTCGCCAAAGATGCATATGCCATATAACACATGACCCCCCCCCCCCCGCGCCGTCAAGTCTTGCATGGATTTACGGGCTTAAACTTCACGGACACATCCGCACTGAAACTTGCAAAGCAGGTAGACTAGCCCAGAACTTCCTGAAAGCAACAGTTTGTTGAACCCCTGAACTCATACTGTTCCTAATGAATATGCACACTTGCCCGATCATAGAATAGTGCTCATGCATATGGAATACTGGCTTATCTAGAAAGCTTTCACTCCTTGGTGAATGTTTAACAGCGATAGACTATAACAGGTCACTGGGTTAGAAAACCATAGCTTCACCGAACGTTTGGTGAATTTTTTTAGAGAAAAAATTAACTGGCGCAACTAACTAAAGCACATGATGCATCATTACAGGGAGTATGCCACCTTCTTGTACTTTTCATTTATTGCATAGATGTGACTCGCACGATATGATCAACAATACCAGTTTTCTCAAAATCCTTCTGAATAGCTCAGAATAGCGACTTGAAGGAGCCGTTTCTGCGGAAAAAAATCTCATTGGGACACCCTGTTCACTACTATGAAAGTAAAACATTTCATTTGCATTACTGTTCCCAACTTGTATATTCTGTAGTACTTGCAACACACTAATTTCTCAAATGTTTGTGTTATGAATGCCGCCGGCAGCTTGAAACACTGCTTAGACAACAATATATGCGAACATGAGGCTATTTTTCCGCGAATTAAACGAAACGCTGTACTATGGCCTTGCTTTTACCCTAATGGCGGTCACCACGGTAACCCTTTTTCGAGGCGCACTTTGGCTGTGGGAACGGGAGCATCACATGCTCCATAGCGACGCACTAGTTCAAAACTTCAACCAATGCATTTCATGGTTACAGTTCCTTGCCGCCCGCTATGCCAATCACAATTGTTTTATTCGCACTGGCAGAGGTGCCACGGCGTTTGCTATGACGACGGTGCTCGCGAGAACTGCAGGGAAGAAGCGAAATGCGGTTACAAAGTGTTGACAGCGTAATTTGGACTAGTAATAATTAAAATTGATGTGCTCATGATGTCTTGTCGGTGCTGCAGTGACACTACATTGTGTGCATTATTGGACTAAGTGGCCATGAAGTTTCACTAGAGTGTGTTTTTTGAAATATGACTCAAATGTGTGACACTCTGTAGCCCTAATAACTAACCAGATCTCCAAAGTGCACCTGCGCTGAGCGCTTGAAGACCTTAAAGCTGTGCTCATGCCGAAAGTTTGGAGACCTTGAAGCTGTACTCAATCTAGGGTTGACTTATGCGTGCTCACCTAACCCAGTTTTGGAAAATGCCCGAAAGTAAATTATGTGTATCCCCAGATATCCTGCTTTGGCCGTCCTTCACGTGCTCCCACTAAAGGTCAATGTCACAATATATATTTTAGCGACCATTCTCCACTGACATCAGGAGACGCGTCTTTTTGTTGCGTTGAGTGGAATTACCTGCCTACCGCAACTGTGCGCGTGCTCATTGTTTATCGATCTCTCCTGGGTTGATGGATTCATGTCTGTGTGACATACTTTATGCCTCTGTTTAGGCACGTGGTCAGGTATAAGCTCCATGCTTGTATGCTAGAGCTCTGTTAGCATGACGTTAAAGGTTCTGCTGCATCACTGCAACATGGTTTGAATCGCATGACTAGCATTTCGGACGGTGCACAATTCCAGTCACTTCTTGTTCAGACATTAACCCCGGCAAAAGTGTGCAGACTGACACATTTAGGAATCTAGGGCTCTTACAAACTTTTTTCCGTCAAGTGTCTAAATCACACTGGTTATCACTCTTCCGAGGCCAAGGAACCCAGTACGGTGTTAGAACCTGTCGTCACGGTGAGTACGCGGCCATTGCCAGAGTTAGATGCCATAGAATACTGTCGGAGTAGCACGGAACGACGCTCATGAAGTTTCCACCGCTTGGCTCGCGGGCATTAAGTATGTGAATGAATTGCATCTCTCCCATGGCAAATGCATATTCGTCACACTCGCAGCAAATCAAACTTTTGTCTATGGACAGAAATGTATTACAGTTAACAAAGTAGAAAACGATCATGGTAGCTAACTGACTAGATTATTCCCAAATTTCACGACGCGCCCACACACGCAGACGACCCACTCATTGCACATGGCTCTCTGGGCTCAGCCAGGTCGGCTGACGGCATCGTCACTCCTCATCCACCGCGTGCCAGTGGCGCTGGATATCGGCCGCGGCGCTGCCAGACCTCAGGCCTCGAGCTGCCCTCCCCCCCCCCCCCCCTCCGAGCGAGCGCCGTACTGGCGCTGTCCACTGCGAGACGGAGCGCTACACCGGCGCAGATCAAATCTAGTCACGAGAGCGCCGCTGACGCACGCCAAGTGTAAAACTGAGTACAAAAAGAACCACTTGACGATACGCACACACACACGAGGGCGCGCCTCGGACGCACAGTGACGCCCAATCCAGGCCACGTGGAGCCGTGACGCCGCCGCGAGCCACCATCGTGACGTCACTCAGAGCTGCGCCGTGGGCCAGGCGATCTTGGACTCGAGCCGTTTGTAGGCGAGCATACAGTGCGTTCCGCTGGCGGTCAGCTCCTGCTTGAGCAGCTGCGGACACTCATGGTCGCTGAGCAGGGTCTCTGTGGAGGCCAGGACCGGAGGTGAGCGGCCGACGCCCGACACCCGACACGGGCCGCGCCTCCGCCTGAGACCATCGCCCGACACACAGCCGGCTCTTCCGAGACAGGGCAGCCGCGACGCGGCCGACAGCGGTCCACTGTAGGCGCAGACAACGGCCGACAGCAGTAGACTGCCGGCCGCACACACCGGCCGACAGCGGCAGACGGGCGGGAGGCACGTCACGGGACCTTGCGCTCGCCCACCCAGTCCCGGCACCCACCGTTGCCGTTGATGAGTTTGAAGAGACCGTAATCGATGGGACTGGTGATACGCAGCTTGTTGCCGAGCATCTTGCAGATGTCTCGGGCGCTCGTGTTGGGCCGCGCCGGCAGCGTGCGACTGATGATGGTGCCCTGCTGCTCGTCAGGGATGATGACTCGCAGCAGGCCGTCCAACCGAGTCAGCGCCGCTGCACGAGCCAGAACACTGCCGGCACACGCGGGCACATACCGTTCATGATGAAACTGCAGCCATCACCGGTGCGTGAGTCGAAACATGAAGACAGATACAAACACAAGCCGGACCAGAACGGTACATTGTGTACACTACAAGCAATCCGAGTATTCATGAACGCCTTCTAATGACTAGCTCGTAATATCTGAAGGTTACGACGACGTTAAGAATGGTGGCATCCAGCTTTTGCTGGTCGGGTCTGTCCAGCCTGACCTGAGCGGAGCCGGCGCTCCGGCGTCTGCCGGTCACGTCTGTCCAGCCTGACCTGAGCAGAGCCGGCGCTCCGGCGTCTGCCGGTCACGTCTGTCCAGCCTCCTGACCTGAGCGGAGCCGGCGTTCCGGCGTCTGCCGGTCACGTCTGTCCAGCCTGACCTGAGCGGAGCCGGCGCTCCGGCGTCTGCCGGTCACGTCTGTCCAGCCTGACCTGAGCGGAGCCGGCGCTCCGGCGGCTACTCACGTGTGATAGGCTCCTGGTGGACTCGCGCGACCGGTCCTCCAGATAGTGCTGCAGGTTTCTTCAGCACGTGCACGGCCGAGGACAGCATGGTCAGGTAGTAGCCGGCCTCGCCGTTTAGCAGCATAGGGTGCAGCAGGCCCCACATGTAGTCGGCCTCAAACTGGGGAGAGGCGACCCCGCCCCCGTCACCGGCCAGCAGTCACACCGCCGGCGCTGTCGACCGATGCACGACACCGAGGCGGCTTCCACACCAGTGAGGGGCTCGGCTTCCACACCACTGGGGGGCTCAGCCTCCACACCAGTGGGGAGCTCATCCTCCACACCAGTGGGGGACTCAGCCTCCACACCAGTGAGGGGCTCGGCTTCCACACCAGTGGGGGACTCAGCCTCCACAGACTCAGCCTCCACACCAGTGAGGGGCTCAGCAGCCGGCGCTATCCGCTACTGGTTCTCGCATCAAAAGCATGTCGACGGGTCAAAGGCGCGCATAGCTTTTAATACGTCGATTGACGATGAACAATGGAAAACTCCTGTCGAAACAATGGCTATGATTGGGTTCGCTTGGGACAGCTTATACATATCATGCGCTAGTGAGAAACTTTGCGAATATGTGCTTCATAGTCCCATACGAAGCATGGTGCCGAATATTCTGCAAACATTAAATGCCAACACCGTCATTTCCTTCATCATTACATGCATGTCACCGTGGTGTGGTGAGCAAGTGGCCCGTCTCCATACCAAAGATGTGGTGGTGTACTTCTACATTCGTCACACTACCTGCTGTACATTGAGGTTGGTAACATGCCACTATTCGGGCGCGTGCGTTTTGTTCACTGCCGTACTCTATGGTGGTGGCGTGGCAGTGAGCGAGCGTGAAGAATCAGCAGCGGCAAAAACTCGTCGGCCGGCAGGGAGGCAATCTTGGCGCCGGCGGCGGCGAACAGCGCTGAGATCACGGCCAGCAGGTGCTCCAGCTTGTCCAGCGGGCTGATGGCGGCCTGCATCTCAACCACCGAACGACGAATCATCTCCAGTGCGGCGGCGGACGGCGGCGGACGCTCCGACTTCAGCCCCAGCGAGGAGGCCGAGCGGCCGCGAGCGAACTCAAGGTTCTCAACCAGTCGCTGGACGGCGCCACTGCGGCGCGCATCCTCCGTCGCCAGCTGGCTGATGTGGTCGTACAAGGGTCGCACCAGCAGCTCCTCCAGCACACCCCTCCAGGATCACGTCCAGGTTCAGGAACTCAGTGGACGACAGCTAAGCAAAGGACAGTACAGAATTATGGTGCGCACAAAAACAGATTTGATAAATAGCAAGCACGGGCTCAACCCTGACACGTGGCCAACATTTTCCCCAGGGGGGCCAATGCTAAGTATTTTCCAAAAATCCTGCGACTTTGAACCAGATTCCCGTGATACCGCCCAGTGTCTAGTACAGAACTTTTGTATTAGGGGGAGAGTATGGTCCCTCAGCCATCCCCTTGTCTACGCCCCTGACCCCACCCGTGGCATTCAGACCACACGGTCACAACTGTGCCCGTTTTCTATGTACAGGCAGTTTCTTTACACAGGAAAGGAATCGCTAAATTTACCGAACCGTGGCAACACGTTTCGGTACGTGCGTGTCTCTGTAGCTCGTGAGTGCCGGCACTTACCTTGTCCCTTTCCTGGTTGACGATCTTGGTGAAAATCACCCTCGCCGTTCTTCACCAAGTAATTCTTCATGCCGTTGACAAACTGGCGCGTGTTCTCTATGACCACGATGTGGATCGGTCTCCGTCGGCCTCCCGTGTGGCACTGTCAAGCCCACGGAGCAATTTCACGGACATGGGGATCGGTCTCCGTCGCCTCCCGTGTGCACTGTCAAGCCCGGGGCAATTTCCACGACATGTGGATGGTCTCCGTCGCCTCCCGTGTGGCGCTGTCAAGCCCGGGACAATTCACGACATGTGGATCGGTCTCCGTCGCCTCCCGTGTGCACTGTCAAGCCCGGGGCAGTTTCACGACATGGGGATCGGTCTCCGTCGCCTCCCGTGTGCACTGTCAAGCCCGGGGCAATTTCACGACATGGGGATCGGTCTCCGTCGCCTCCCGTGTGCGCTGGTCAAGCCCGGGGCAATTTCACGACATGTGGATCGGTCTCCGTCGCCTCCCGTGTGCACTGTCAAGCCCGGGGCAATTTCACGACATGGGGATCGGTCTCCGTCGCCTCCCGTGTGCGCTGTCCAAGCCCGGGGGCAATTTCACGACATGGGGATCGGTCTCCGTCGCCTCCCGTGTGCGCTGTCAAGCCCGGGACAATTTCACGACATGTGGATCGGTCTCCGTCGCCTCCCGTGTGCGCTGTCAAGCCCGGGGCAGTTTCACGACATGGGGATCGGGTCTCCGTCGCCTCCCGTGTGCACTGTCAAGCCCGGGGCAATTTCACGACAGGGGATCGGTCTCCGTCGCCTCCCGTGTGCGCTGTCAAGCCCGGGCAATTTCACGACATGGGATCGGTCCGTCGCCTCCCGTGTCACTGTCAAGCCCGGGGCAATTCACGACATGGGGATCGGTCTCCGTCGACCCTGGTGTGCGCTTGTCAAGCCGCGGGCAATTTCACGACATGGGGATCGGTCTCCGTCGCCTCCCGTGTGCGCTGTCAAGCCCGGAGCAATTTCACGACATGGGGATCGGTCTCCGTCGCCTCCCGTGTGCACTGTCAAGCCCGGGGCAATTTCACGACATGTGGATCAACATGGCATCATCCAGGACGACTGTATTCAAAGAGACGTTATCAGAAGACGCCTTCCAAGCCATGGTCTTAAGTGTTGTAAGTAGGAGCGCTTTAACCCTGATGAGAACAGATTATGTCCCTTCCGGCGCCAGACACTCCGAGCCCGTTTGTAGCCGGTGGCAGGGCGTGATGGAACGTGACAATAACAACATTTTACTGGGTAACACACTCTACAGTGCCCGTAGATTCCCCTTGCAGCTAAGAGCCGGCGTGCGCGTGGCGAGCGCGGAGGGCCTGGGATGCCGGTGACCCACCTGCAGAAACTTGAGCACGTTCAACGAGAAGGTGTTGGTGCTGTCGGCCGCCAGCTGCAGCACGTACTGCTTGATGGCGCCACCCGACTGCTGACTCCTCCGGTGAAGGCGGAGGGAGTTCAGCCGAGGAGGAGCTGTCGGTACGGATCACGTTCTCACCACTGACGACCGGTAGCGGCACGCAGAGAGAGCCGCCCAGGTCGTCCACTGCCGCTGGCTGTCTCATCAGCCCCGCACGGCCCAATGTGCTGTGCACCGATCACGATCGGGACAGAACCGCGCCCGATCCAGCAGCTGCACGATGGGACGCGTATTCGACCCCAACGCGGCAACACGGGCACGACAGCGCGAGTCGAACCACGGGACCACCAGGCACGGAGCCTCAAATAAGCACCGAGCGCTAGCGGGACCTCAGAGCAGCCGGACAGCCAAGCCTAGCAGCCACGCATCCAGAGTGGACGGCACACCGCAGCACCACCGAGACCTGAGCACGAGAGGAGGGCCCGGGCGGCCAGCCGTGGCCTGACTCACAGTAGAGCGACTCCTGTGGGGCCCGTGGCAGCGGCAGCCGCTGCGGGTACAGCCGGGCGGCCGTGCCCCTCCGACGCAGCCGTGTCGTCGTCCGTCATGGCCGCCTCCTGGCACACGTGCACGAACGACTCCGAGTCGGTGAAAAGCGGTCGTCGGCGGGCGGCTCGTCGAACTGGCCGGTGCGCAGCCGCATCTGGTCGGTCATTAGTCGCATAATCGACTGCACTTGGTGGCTTCGGTCGGGTCGTCCCGCGTCGTCGTTGTCGCCGCCGCCGCCGCCGCCGCCGCCGCCGGCTCGCCCGCCGGCCGCACGTTGTCATAGTCGGACGCGTGCGAGTCGGAGGGTTCGGGCGCGGTCGCCGCCGGCGCCGCCATCTGCGTCAAACTCTGCCGCACGTAGGCCTGCACGATACGACTTTCCTCCTCCTTGGAGAAGGCCGGGCGCGCCGCCGCCTCCGACTGCTCCTCTGTTGACTCGGAGAGCCTCAGGCCGTGTTGCGCGCCTCTGGCGGCGGCCGGCGCAGTTTGCACGGCGTCCTCCAGCTCGGCCTCCGTGTCCGCCTCGAAGCCCTCGTTGTCGGCGCCGGCGGACGCCCAGGCGGCGTCGCCACGCCACGGCTGCTGGCGCGAGGCGCGGCGCGGCCGTGACCGGCGAGGCGACTGCACGCGCGGCGGCCTGCACGGCCTTGCCACGGCGCGCCGATTCAGCGATGCCATGCGAGCTCTGCGAGCGCGCGCCGGCGCGCAGGCGGCGCGGCGTCGACGTCAGGTTTGTCGACGCTGCTGGAGAGCGGCGGCAGCTCGTCGCTGGAGTCGATGGTTTCGAGCGGCGGCCGGCGGCCGCGGCCCGGCGGCTCCCAGCGGATGTTGGGCTCCGAGTGGCGGTGCGCCGCGCTCCGGTCGAACGGCGCGCGCCGCTGCACGCCCGAGACCGCGTCGCGCACGGCGTCCGCCGGCACCGCGTAGAACGGACTGCCGGCGGCCGGCGAGCGAGGGGCGGCGCCGGCGGGTCGCGACGGGCCGAGCTCGAGGCGCAGCGCCGTCCGGTCGCTGGCGGCGGCCGGCGGCTCGGCAGCGCCGCGAGCGGCGTCGCTCAGGTCATTCATGGAGCGAGCGGCCGTGCGGGGCTTGAACGTGCTCTCCGGCTGCAGTTCGCGCGGGTGGCGACGCCCAAATGTCCTCGTAGTCCGAGATCTTGTCGGCCACATGAGCTGCGGCAGTAGCTGGCCGGCAGCTCCAGGATGTCGGCCTCCTGGTAGTGAGTGGAACGCTTCTTGCGGCCGCGCCGGCGGCTGGCGCGCGGCGCCGCCCGTCAGCAGCACGTCGTCGTCGCAGGAGGCGGGCGTTGTGACGGGCGAGGCCGGCTGACGCCAGGCCGCGCCGCCCCGGCGCCGGCGCCAGCTCGCGTACCGGCGTTGTTGGAGGCGCTGCGCACCTGGCGGCCGACGCCCTGGCCGCCGATCAGCATGGTCACCTCACTGC